CAGAGGGGACATTTTCCCGAGCCCCACTGGCTACAGTCCCGTCTAACGCAGTTTTTTTGTTAAAACACTTTACTTGCCTATTTTAGATAGGTAATAACCGAGTGCATTTCAACGAAAGTTAGAATATTTTGTTTTCTGTCCGATGGATTGTACCAGAATAGAGAAGAAGGTGAAAAAAAAGATGAGGATTGGAAGAAAAGTTCAGCTCCTCCACAATCTGTGAAACTTGTTCAAGTGTAATTATCCTCCACAATGGATGAACCCACAGTATTTATTGCTTATTTTGGCCATATAATGGATCCATTTTAAAGAAATTTACGTAGCCACCAACATTTCTAGAAAGAGGGAGATATGAAAAGAGATTCTCTCAATTTCGAAACCATCAGTGAATCCATTTTTACATTTTTCAAAGTTAGTCCCTGTTTTTTCTAAAAAGCTTGTTTTTGTTTTTTAATGACCTCTTAAGAGATCATTACAGAGCATAGCAATCTAATGACAAGCACAGATTTCAGATCAATTGCAAAAGCTGTCGTTTTTTGTGGTAAAACAAAATTAATTTTATTCCCATGAGAAGTTTCAATGTATTTATTGTAAAATATAAATCTCATACGAAGAGTTGTTATCCCTTTAAGGGGAATTTCTTTCCATTTCAAATTATGGATCTAGTGTTTGTACAGAAAGGCCAGTCTCTGACCAACGGTTAAGCAAGCATTTTTTTCCAAAAATTATTAATGATACAGTGTAATTTTGTATTCAATTTGAGCAGCCCTTGATACATGTATCAGAGGACAATAAAGGATACTAGAATAAGTTTAGGCGGAATTTCAAATGTTTGAGGTTAATTTGTTCTGTTAAATAAAGAGAACCATCTGCACATCCTCATCATCTTCCTCCTTTATGGCTACTGAATGAGCAGGCTATTCACATTTTAAAAAATCTTTCAGTGCTGTTTTGGGCTTTGTTTTCTAATGGTCGTTCATTGTAAATACTTGACGCTTAATTACCTATTCAAAAACTTATTTCATTAGAACGATTTTATTTCAAAATCAGGTTAGGTTGCACTGTTTGCTGGACCCGTGGGTTTTATTTGTGTTGTGTAAGAAACCGGTAGTGGTAATTTGTATGCGTTGCTGTATTCTCCCTTGTTATGAACCTTAAACGCATAACCCCAGTTATGCAGCAGTTACGTTACCCGCATTACATGTAACAGAATGTATTATAATGCAGATCACGTACATGTAAAGAAACTATTTATACCCATGGTAATTTAGACTTAATGAGACAAGCTTAGGTCTCTTGCAAATATAGGTCACACGAGATAATGTTATATAATCAAATGTGGTAATGTACTACTGCGGTGAAGAGTTATGCCTAATTTCTACTGAGATTTTGTGAAGCATGGTTATATATTGGTATATATTTTGGAAGAATTATCAGTCAGTTCACAGTATTTCCAATGGCAGCAAGCTACCAGACGAGAATTCGAGATGAAGAGGAGATGCGGCGTAGATTGGAAGAAGAGTTCAGCTCCTTGGCTAACGCTGAAGCGTATTACAAATGTGTAACTATTATCGAAAACGGGTAGGTGTAATCCAATAAAAAGCAGCTAATCATTTGTCATTTGTTAATCTTTTTCATTCATCAAGTATTTCAAGTCCTTATTATATCACTTTTCAGAGAGGATGAAGGTAAGAAACGCAGCTTAACGGACTTTGATACCATTCGCGAGAACATCCTGAACCTATCAGGACTTCCTTCACCCGCCCGAATAATGGATTTTGGGGGAGGTACAGGAATCCCCATGTCAGCCATTTGTAAAACACTCCAAGCCCTCAACAAAGATGTAATCGTCAGCGTGGAAGAACCCCATGAAGAGTCGTTGCAGAAGTACAAGGAATGCGTTGAGAACCTGGAAAATGTTAAGCTGGATGTGGCCTACTCTGGACGGTTCCAGGATTACTTCGGGAAGTCTGTGGAAGACCTTAAGTCCATTGGAGCGTATCCTGAAGAACAACAGGACAGGGTGCTTGCTTTACATTCCACGTATCATCTTACACGTTGGTTGGATGATTTCTGTAACCCTCACGAAGACATCAAACGAGCTGTCTTTGCCATGTATACCATCCTCAAGCCTGGGGGGATGATATTAATACAGTTTAATAGTGGGGACAATGCATACATTTGGAACACCGCTGTGCACTGTTTTAAAGCTCGTTTTCCTAATGAAGCCGTAAACCTAATGAAGGTAGCGGAGGCTAGAAGTTCTTTGCTTATTCAAGGGGAAATTGCCGATATTCTGAACGAATCATTTCCAACCTTTAAAGCTTTGATATGGCACGAGGAGATGAGGTGTGATTTCGTGCTTTCATCGCTGGCAGAGGTCGGTGCTTCGGTCCTGGCCATCTATTTCCATGGTTGGGCAGATAACGCTTTTAAATTTGACTCTAGTGTGTTGTCATTTTGCATGGACTTCGTCCAGAGAGAAGGCAGGAAGTATGGCCTTTCCCAAGAAGCAGACGGAATGTGGCGGATGTCAAATGTTACACACTTAATCACTATTAAGAAAGTCAAAGCTGATTAGGACTATTCTAAGGGCTATTTTAAAGAAAGAACTGTAAAAGTAACAAAGTGTAGGGTTATTCTTATTCTTAATCAGGAAACCAACGACACATTACATGGTGCACTGGTCACATGGGATACATGTTAAGTTTTATCCTGTTGTGCTTAATCCTGCAGTTTTGTATATTATTTCTATGGAAATCATTATCAAAAGAGTGACAAATGCTAATTTGTTGTGCACTTTTCTCAAATGCATGATAGCACTATTATGATGGTACATTTTAAAATATATTTCACATTGTTCAAAGTTTGTACATGGAGTAAAACGCAGTACTGTAATGTGAAATTATAAAGAACACGTGATCTTGGATATTAGGGCATCTCGGCGTTCATATTGATAAAACTTATCATTTTCAATGATATATTATTCAGTTCACATGACGGACTTTTTATTTACTTTACATTGGCATTAAAACAGTCACAATAAGAACTTTCAAACCAGACTGGGTCAAAACATTATATGAATAAAATGTGACTCCTTCTTGTGACTCATCTCCCTTTCCTGTCAAACCGCAGACAAACGGCTTAGCGTTGGAAGGAAACTGTTATAACAGTACTAAACTGTGTAAAGTGGAGTAGTTCTTGACAACTCCACCTCTAGCAAATCAGGGCCCCGTATCTCGAAAGCAACGAGCATTGCGACCGAGCGCAGGCGTCTCGATTCCATAACTCGCCCATACTCGCCCCATATAATACCTTGTAGCCTCTATGTCATATCGCTATTCGCAATACGCGATGCGCTCGAGATACGGGGCCAGTTCAGCTAGTCTTTGACCCAGAATGTCACTATGTATGTAGGGGAGTCCGGGGCTTGTTGGACCTCAGGGCAATTTAAGAAAAAGTAACAACGAGGTAAAAAAAAATGGCCACATACTCTTGTAAAGTGATCGTAGCCTACAATACCAAGGAAGTGTCGGACGTTAAAAAAGTTTTACTTAAACGGTGAGTCCAAATAAACGATTTTTTGCACCTAAAAGTAATATTTGTTTCCGCCTTCGTCTAGAGAGGGGGCAGAAAGTATGGCCTTTCCCAAGAATACGACGGAATGTGGCGGCTGTCGATTGTTACACACTTATCAGTTTGTTAATAATTCTTAAAAGAAAATTAAAAAAAAGGGTAGGAGTTTTAAACAATATAACACATAAGATATACCCTGGTGTAATAAACACATAAGATGCAGGAATCATGGTAATTTCTACAGCGGCTTCTTGATGGCAATCATTGGGATAGTATGAACCAAGGATGTCCGTATCACGTGATACAATACGAGAAAAATACAAAATAAGCGAGAATCAACGTGTAGAGAAGTGTGGGGAATCTATATTTGATAAACGTTGACTAATGCCAAGTTTGAAAGATATACTAGAGCCCGCATAAACCAAACACTAATCATCATTTATTCCTAACACAATGAAAAACGCCTGGAAATAGTTTAACGGTCTGTCTAAACTGATCACGTGGTTAAAAAAGCAGACGACACTTACGACATGCCGCGAGGCGTGCATAGGTGAATCACAGCCGGCGAACCATTCATCACTCGCCCTAATAATTAAAACAACATACTCATAACATCCGACACTTGAGTGTCTCTCTAAATGGGCCGAGGACATGTAGAACGTCATCTGATAAAAGCAATTTTTGGAATCTTTGACAAAAAATCTCTCAAAGCTTTTTTGCGGTTTAGGTTCATTACCACTGACTAAGGCAACATTTGGGGTGTTATATTGTTGCTGTGATCATCTCCCAGGGAGCTGCGTTGAGCGTCTTACATCTACATTCAGTTTGCATATATTTTCAGTTTTGGTGAATCAGCTGCCGTCAGCAGTGGCAATATGTATAATTTCACCTTCAGGTAAGATAGGATACCTGCAGGCTAGTCTTCTTGTGTGGGCCGAGGGAGAACGACTAAAATCCGTGTCAATTATTTCGAGACCATACATACATACGGCTACACTCATCTAATAACTCAATAGAGAGAGAGAGAGAGAGAGAGAGAGAGAGAGAGAGAGAAAGAGAGAGGAAGGTAGAGAGACAGAGAGAAATGCTAAGACTAAGGACAGCCAGGCTTGGTAACATAAACCTGTATGTATCACTGCGAAGTTAACGGCTCATTACTGTAGGGCGTAGAGCTGCACTGACGACCTGTTTTGGTTTTCATCATGATGACAAATCCGTGGGAATATTTAGATGTCATCATTTGTCTCAGAAACAGCGGGTAATCACTGCAGAGAGAATTGTTCCAACTGAGACACAGAGAGGATTATAACTGCAAATCAATTCAAGGGAATATCTACAGTCAAGGTGAGTTTAGAAGGTGTTAAGTCACCTGTTGACGTCGTTTTATTCACCAGTGGTGTCTCTATTAGGATTAACGTTAGGAGTTCGCCGGGTATGGGAGGGGGGGGGTCTTTAACGTGTCTATTTGTCAATGAGAGGTACATCTTGCAGATACAAAATCATAAGCATGGGAAATGTGTGTCTTAGGGCACAGAAATATTTTGAATTTTCCACAGATTTACGGTGTAATAAATATGAATAAGGCTTCGTTGGCACTGGGTTACTATTTTGGTGTTAAACATTTTCCCAGCATTTCATCAGTTAAAGCAGCATCTGATCACACAGTATTATATAGTCACCTCTTACAGTATGTATCTAAATATCGGGCACATAACATTTCTGTATTAATATCAAGCCCAGTTTGAACTGTGCTAGACCTGGGTGCGGGCGAAAAAAGCCGTGACGACAACAGCATTAATATCCTTGTTATCATTTATCTTATGAATAAAACGTGGACTTGGATTTCATTTCATATACACAAATCATTCGGTTGGACATTACTCACCTCTGTGTACGTGCGATTTAAGTAAGGAAATATGAGAAAGATGACCGCAGAAATGATCATTTCTTTTACTTTGTGGCTAATATATTAAAGGGACAATCTAAGAATATGATAAGATCATCATTTGACAAAAATTCATATAAATGTCATACATTTCCACTGCGGTATTGTGGACTGCTGTAATGAACCTGATATATTAGCTGCTCACGACTTCTTCCAGGTTAATTTGAAGTAAGGATCATGCGTTTGAATCTATATTACCAAAAATGAAAATAAACATTTAATATATTTGTCACTGCACGTGCAGCACTGATTCAACACCAGAAGACAATATTCGCACGTCACGATGAACGGAAATCCTACTGCGCTGTCATATACAGACCCTAAAGGTCTTCAGCATACCGTTACCTATCTGGCACCCTGCGTTCGTCACGATGAACGGAAATCCTACTGCTTATACAGAATCTAAAGGTCTTTGGTATACCGTTGTCTATCTGGCACCCTGCGTTTGTCTTTAACAAGATGTAATCGGACGAAGCGTGTAATTGATGAATTACAGCATTCAGATTGATTTGATATTAGATTGCTAAATTACTGTCATTATAATAAAGATGTAGCTTTAACTTTAAATCTTATGAGTTAGGTGAAATGTCTTAAACAGCTTAATCATTGCAAAAGGATGATTGCTCTCCCAGGCTGACTTCCTATATCATAAAGTGAGTTGGACCCCAGCCTGTCATCATCTCTGATAAAATGATACCCGAAGCAAACTAAAGGAGGCTTTTATGCCGTATAAAGACTATCATTAAGGTATGCTTTATTGAAGGGTAAAACATAGGCTTTGAATAGATCAGGAAACTAAGACTTCGTTTCGCACGTTCCTTCAACTTAATACTTGTATTTACACTCTGTCTACAGTATTAGAAAGTAGGGCACATTAAAAACCAACGCGTTGCTCTGCTCTGAATATTAATTGGCAATGGGACATAAACAAAGGATGTGTGATTAAGGTAAGGCTTAGTGAGGATGGGTCGGCCTCTTTTTTATTCCGTTTTATTTATTTATTTATTTTACATTATTTATTCTACATCAACAACTAGAAGTCATCGCCTTCCCTTTAATTACATGCATTTCACACTTTTCATTGAATACACAGATGACTGGAGAAGGTCAGTGCTCTGTATATGTAACTTAGGTCCAGTTGTCCGATCATACTGTCCAACGCGCCCCCATCTCTCCCCCATGCTCTCTCCCTCTCTCTCTCTCTCTCTCTCTCTCTCTCTCTCTCTCTCTCTCTCGTACACACACACATATATATACACACACAGGCACACGGTATGAGGAGGCCTCCTGTTCTCACACACTCTATCTTGCGTTGTGTCATAACCAGCATGCCAAGGCCGCATCCCATGCTGTTAGTACCCGTCCGTGTCTTCCACACAGTCTCTTACCTAGCACTAAGACTCCTTTCCCATACCTAGATTAATCTAGTGGAATAGACCCATCTCCGAGGGGTTTCTCGCTAAATTACATTCAGCTTAAGCGACTCTGATGCCTGGCACGTCTACTAAAGCTGTTAGGGGGTATTAACTGTCGTTTTAGCAGCTTTAAGAGGCGTGTCAGACATCTAAGACGCTTAATCTGGATGCAATTTAGCGAGAATCCCCTCGGAGATGGGTCGATCCTGCTAGATCGTTCTAGGTATGGGAATGGGATCTAACTCTCAGACAGTTGTGATATCATGAAGTTGCATGTTATTACGTGTTAAAGGCAAAATGAACACAGGACATGCAACCGCGCACTGTCCCTGTGAGGGGAAATGGAAAAGCCGGCGGCAAGCGGAAGATGGGTGAAATGTTCAGCCTCGATGTTCTGTGTGCTGCAGTGATTAAAAAACGCTGAAGGCTGTTGGACAATATGAATGTTCCCAGAGTATTTATATTTGGATATTAAGATGGGTTTCATTGTGATGTGTGTTTAATTAAATTTTACTGAAGTGATGTACTCAAATTTTGGAGACTTTATTTACAAAATGTTTATTTTAAATTGCAGTTTTGTAATATTAGTACCTTATAAACTCTAAATTATGTTCTTTTAAGTCTTTAAAAATGGTCTTAATATAATGTCCGGTTGGTTTTATGTAAGCAGCGCTGAGACGAATGTGCCGTACGTAAATAATAAAAATAATTCTTTTGTTATTTTTATCAGTTAACAAGGTCTAAGTTTCATTCAATCCGCAACAGCAGTTAAGCAGTATATAAACTTGCCTAATATGACATTCGCACGCGTTGTCTGTCACAGCTTGCTACACCAGCACACACGCCTTGTGAACTTAATTCATTATTATTTAAGCGCTGCTTGTTCGCAAACTGCAAAATTGCAAAGCAGTCATATTTTTTCGGAATTCAGGCTTTGTTTCATTACGTTTACCATAGTTGCGTGCCCAGAGAGAAAGGAAAAGGTGAAAGGGGTTACGGGAAAATGTGTTGAAACTGTCAGACGCGATGCCACTTTATTGATAAGCACATTGGTACACACATAAGCATGGGAATTAACAGTCATTGATTCTTTTTCAGTCATAATCTTCACCCGAGATGACCACGTGTTCGGGAACCAGGCTGCGGCCGCACCCGGCGGATTGCAATAAGTTTCTACAGTGCAGGAATGGCATCTCGGTAGAGAGTTCCTGCGCGAGCGGCCTCGTCTTCAACCCTAAAACTCAGGCCTGTGACTGGGGCTATAATTATGAGTGTAAATCGACGGCCGAGGCATCACCTCAACCACAGACGACAGTTAACTACAGGGCGACAACCAAGTCATGGAAGTCCAGTACGTATTTGTCTATGAAAGACCATGTCATTTTTTTATAAAAATACTTTGGTAATTTATTTTTATATCATCACCTGCATTGTGAAGAATAACGTCTCCGACCCGATTTTTTACCAAACCGGCAGAGGTTTTTCCTTTCACAGATGAAATCCATTTCGGTTAAGGCTGCTCGTATAGGTTTCCATTTATATTTTGTACTAGTATAATGGTGGGCTAAAATCGTAGGCCTACACACGCAGTTTTATTTAAGCGCAGAATCAACCGTTTAATTAAGTAATTATGCCAAATGCTTGCAGTCCTACCTTGAAATAAAACACTTACATTCCTGTCACGCGCTTGTCGTTGGGAAGTAATTCATCATTGACCAATTAGCGCACCTGACCATGACAAGATGGATGATGTTGTAAGCGGCCATGTCAGGCGATGATATGTTCGTGTTCTATTCTGTCATTATCGCGGGCTGGCCTGTTTGACAGTATTTACAAAGGGGGGTGGGTCGTTTTCTGAAAATGTGGGCCTTTCTACCATAAATAACATGAAGGTAGATCAAATTTTGATACAGAGTGGAGCTTTTTCCAGCCAAAATAAGGCAGAAAGGGGGTCTTTTTTCGGACAAAAATTGACATTTTACCACCATTGCACAAAAAGTAATTGTCAATCACATTTTGCTTCATACATGTAGCGGACTTTTTTATCCTAAAAGGGCTGCTCTTTCAAACTCCGCAAACCCATGCCTACGAGCCCGCCATTGAGAGATTTTTTTTCGCACTGCGTGCCCAAATGAATAACTATCACCATATGAGGCAGTTTAGAGCAATTATTAGCTGTAAGGCCATATACAAACCGGTACAAAGTCGCTGTAATATCACAGGTTGGTATTAATACCACACATTGTGACGCATACATCCGTTCATCACAGAAATGCCAAATGTAATACTGATTTGAGACAGGGGTAGGCTTACTCTTAAGAAGACATATCAGAATATTCCATAAGAAGAATTAATCACCAAATACTTTTTCAGAGAAAAACAATTCAGATATTATGGTTACTTGAACGTTTTCTATTTTATCAATATACAATTGGGATTTTGCAACGCATAACTTGCCTATGGGAAACTTAGGTAAAATGTCATCCGTCTGTACATGTACATATATCCTTTTCCGCGTTGAACATATGTTATGCATGCATATATTCTACTAAAAACTAACCTTGTTTATGATTAATTGTATGTACAAGGTGGTTAAAACAGCTGTCACTTCAGCTTGCAAAGGAAATCTATTTGAAAACTCCTCATACACTAAGCGATGTAAAATCTACACAAGAATGCTTCAAGCGACAATTTTGTGACACTAGTATTGCCAAAATCAGGTCCAGTTCGTGGGATTTTTAGCTGTTCCGGATCTGTCTGATCTTTGTGTATTTCAATATTTTGTAGTTATGCCTTACAGACCTGTGACGTGTCTTTTTATGTATTGCGACCCCAATAGGATTTTACTTGAATGTGGAAAATAAGAAAATGCATATACACCTTTATTAGGGTTCAGTCAATTGAAGACGAAAGTGGGCATTTTCACCATGTAATTCTTAGTTGTAAACTTAGCGGAAAGATCATTATTTAGTAAACCTCCCAATTTTTCAGGCCACAAGGAAAATTGGTTTACATTTTTCCCCGCATCAAATCCCACGAAAGGTCCATAATTTTGACAGTCATCAAATGTCAAGAAGACACTTATGACCTACCGCATATTTTAACCACCCTGTGCATTATGTATGTTTTCAAAGGCACGGTGCCAGTGGAAATAACATCGGAAATTGCGACTCCGGCGCCAATGAACACTGCATCCGTTGCTATCACCATAACACCGAGTCGTACTATTCTTCTTCTCGGGCTGCCGAGAACCTCGCCCCACAACACAGCGCCATCTAGGGTGACGTCTGACGCTACCGCCATATCTACATCTGGCACACCGTTCAGTAAATTTATTATTCTATTATTGCATGATTTACAGCTCATATTATTCGAGTAATGTCACTTTGTAGTTTAACACTATGTGGATAAACCAGTTGCTCGTAGCAAATGTCTGTTTTACTAATTGTGTAGCAACTCTGCCAGTTATCTATGTGTGAACTGAGTATTATATTGTCACCTGCTAATTTGTATACAGACGTGTACACATCTTATTTCCTTCAACTCCATGCTTTCAATATAATTATATTAGCGTATGAAATCCACTCACAGGGGCATGCAAGTTTTCAGAAATGAGTACCACGGCGGGTTTATTGTACATGAAAAGAATTTTAAAGCTCTGTCTTTTTTTTTATCAAAATGATTTCCTGGTGATGTGAATTTTTGATAACATTATCATATCTAATATGTTTAGAGTCCATTGCACACAGCACAGAAGAAGCGGATATTTTTAAAGCACACGGCATGAGCTCGGGTGAGGGGGTAAACGGCGGCGTATTCGGGTTTGTGGTCTCAATCTGCCTTATCGTAGGGTTGCTGTTATTCCTGAAGAGGGATTATTTAAAAAGAAGGTATGATGAAGTTGGATTCAAAGCATTTGTGACAGCTTGTAATTGAAGTGTACATTTATATAAAATACAAATTAAACAAAAGCAAAATATCGTGCATTCATTAAAATATATATTCTGTATATGATGTTTTGACATCCTAGTCAGTAAAAAGGTAGCATGTCATACACATGTAATCAATAAGTAATATTTAATAAGTAAGAATCAAATAATTACACAATTAATCCATGCTTAATAATACAATGTTTGCATTGATTAGCTGTTAACTGCTAGATACACCAATTTTAATTCCAGATTCTTCAACAAATGTTTTAAAGACAGGGAGAAGCAAGCTATCCGCATAGAGCCACAGAAGAAGCGTCTCTCACCTGAAGATATACACCTTCATATTTACGCCGAGCTGCCGGATCCCAGTGAGAGGAATGATATGGTGAGTTTGAACTGTAAACTGCCTTCCTGCTTTTATCAATCTTAAGATTGTATAATTTTTAACACCGAAAAACAAATTAGTTTCGCTGCCGTTGAATTTTAAACACTTTTAAAGTGTAAGCTGGGTTGAGGCATAAAAGACACCTTTCTAAACTGAGTGCAGACCCGTATCCAGCAACTGCAAAAGGGGTGGGGGTGGATGATCTTTTTCTGAAAATGTGGAAAATGAAATCTTAATTTGCCTAGATCAAATTTACCCAGATTGGACCTTTTCCCAGCAAAAAAAAAAAAAAGGGGGGGGGGGGGCGGTTCTTCGGACCCCTCCCAAACCCCCTTTGACTACAGGGCTGCCGTTTTTTCTACTGCTAAGTCCGGAAGTTTGAAGTCTGGGAGAATGTGGGTGGGTAGGTGACTGAGGGTTGGCCCTACTAAAAAGGATTAGGTGCCATGCCACTTTGTAGCCACTGTTTACATGACTGTTTCAAGACTTATTATCTAAACAATTTTCTTCACTTGCAGAATAACTACACTTACAACCCCATCCCAGAGAGAACGTCGATATCATATATTGGAGAAATTAGAGGGAACCACACGACAACAGGTGCGGCAGAAGACACGTATCTCGAGCCCTCAGTGCATGGAAGTCTACGCGCAGATTCATCGTTAAAATCGAACTTACAAAACAACTCTCTGTATTTAACAGAAAGTGGCGATTTAGGCAGAAACATGTACGCTGAAGACGTAAACAATGGGTTGAATCAAGAAATGTACCACGAAGACGAGGATATATATTCTTATGTAAAAGAAGACAGATCCTCGAATAACGACAACAGGGAGGCAAATACAACGGAGGAATATTCACTTTGGTCAAAACACAATAATCAGGATGCGAGCGAAAAGTCAAACACAGGCGACCCTGGTTACGATGCGATAGAGGAGAATATTTACGATTGCGTCTGCGAAGTGGACAGGCGGAATGATGCCACGGAGAACTCGTCTGTTCACGGCGCTTCATATTTACCACAACAAAACGCTGACTGCCAGACCGATGCGTCGGTGTCAGTGACAGACCTTTCAGTTTTGAGCGACTCTCAGCCGGAACTAGATGCTTCTGTCGACTCCAGTGATTTTAGTGATTTCACAGATGATGATGATGAGGGTTTTGAACCGCCATATGAAGATGGCTTCAGTGTTAAATTAGAAGAGGGCAGTAAGAGGACTACTTAACGGATCGATTTTTATGAAGCAATAACAAATTATTTATTTATTCATTTGTATTTGAGGATATTGCCTCAGAATTCAAAAGCGTCACTTTCCCTTAAAGACGGCGTTTTGCTACAAACAGGTCGTATATACATTGTATCTGCAAGTGTAAGCCGACCTATTGGCAAATTCTGTGTTATTTAGAAATCATTCGTACACAGGAGTATATGTAAGGGTATCCCTGCTCCACGCCAGACGGCGCTTTTCAAGCTTTAATTGAAAATATTGACATAATGAGTGCAAACATTACGGTTATCAGATTTGTGGTTCCAGTTGTCGATCAGTTTATGTCATTATGTCGTTACCAATGACATGTGACTTTTTATTATTCAGATAAGCTGAAAAAAGTTGCATTTTTGACAACCTGTCAATTATTTGGAATTATCTGAGCTCCTCTAAGGTGGAAAGACGATCTAAATTGAACTGAATGACTGAAATCAGGGACTTCTTTAAATAATATTACTAATGGATAACAAGTGTCAAACTGTTAATTTTACTTTGTCTAAAAATGCAATTTGCTTCTTACTTTTACAGATAAGGCATCTCGCTTTCCGCTGGTCGGAAATATTAATAATGTTTTATTTATTACGACCCATTTATCACAATTCTAACCGCACAAATGAGGCCCTCAACGTGATCTGCATCAAACTAAATCAATATTTCAATCACGGTAATTGTCATCATTTTATCAGTTTAAAATATTAGCAACAGCAATGACGCAATTAATAAAACCTAGCTGTCAACCCTAATGGCGCTTAATGTGTGCTTGGTTGAGCTGATGACTCATGTTTTTAAGTTAAATTATGGACAGAAGCATATTGTTTACCAAAGAAATATATCAAGTATGTAATACAATAGTGAAACTTGTTAATTTCGTCAGTTTTTTTTTATTTTGCCGTCAAAATGATAAACTGATATGTTCACAGAATGAGGAAGCGAGCCTTGTTTTTGCACCTTTCCTCTAATCTGTAATTAAAGAAATGTTCATCAATGTGTGCCTGTGTGTGTGTGTGTGTGTGTGTGTGTGTGTGCGTGCGTGTGTAATTTCATAAATGAACCGTACGCCGTAAAATGCGCGTTTTATCGTAAACGCAATAATTTTCTAATTTTATGTACAAACCAACTAATAGACCTTAAAGCTTTGTGTCTATGCATTATATAAAACACGGCCGTTGGCCCATAGATTATTGAAATCACACAATACAGTTTGAAAGACGAGGGAAAAATGTCCTTTGCAATAGTCCATTTTATATATATCAACTGCAGTACACACAAAACTGAAATTCAGTTTCACATGCAGCTGTAGGTACCAGTACGTCTTGGCACGTGGTCATTTTGGAAACCTCCACAGTGAATACTATCATGGCATTTACACAAATAAAACTGTATGCAACAAAGCGAGGTTGAATGTAATGCTCTTGTATACAGTTCAATTGTATGGCAGTCGAAACACACTATATTCATATGGCTTTAGCCATTCTGCCGCACTTCTAATTCAAAGTCTTTGGTTATAGAAGTTTTGCTCAGCACATTTAAATGCAGTCTCGCGATCAATCATTTATTTATGAAATTACCCAAAACAAATGGAAAAAATAAATGCAACAGCAAGTTCTGTACCATGATTACCACGTAAGAACTAGCTTTCAAAAAATCCCTTTTAACCCCCTACTGTAGATTCGTGCATTGACATGTTGTTCTTATGCTCCAACTAAGCTGAGTATTTGTCCATCTCCTCTTTTTGCATCAGTGAGAAGAGCTGAAAAATGAAAATATAAACTGCATTATGTACAAAATAGGCCCTCAGGTATCTCTCGTATCAAGTGCTTTGTTCAATCTAATGCAATATTCACGAACGCGACATCTTTTAACTGTCAAGGGACAAATCGATGCATTTTAATTAAAATTAATTTAACTTTAAATTTCAGGACACACAACCGCGCACACACACACACACACACACACACACACACACATATGCCCCATGGATAGAGCTAACAACTCTCGTTAATGGATAGAGTGGCTGCAACTTACCACGATTTTCCTCTTCCTTGTGCCACGATTTTCCCATCAAGAGTGCGCTACAATAATACAAAGACTGTGATTACAACCCGTGTAAATATTTATGCTAGGTGCCCAATAATCTATGTTATAAAATACATATTTTTCTACGTAGTACCCATTGTAAGGAAAACATATCAGGAACTTACAGAAAAGAAAAAAAGGCAGAGATTCCATTTTATAACACCGCATAGTATTTGTTTTGAAGTAGCACACTGATACTGCCTTTCTCAAAGGTTTTAAACGGTTTTAAAATGCTGACACTGAATAAACAACATGCGAACAAAATGGCGGTTCTGCTGAATGGTGTTTTATATAAGCACTATGGCTACATGCAATATCGAACATATTCATTCCTAAGCAATTTTAAAATATTTCAGCATGTTTTTCATTTAATATGCAATAAAAACGTGCAATGCATTCAATATGTGAATAACAACGGACACTGTAAGCACCCTTAGCAANAAAAAATTTTAATTTTCCCAAAAAAAATTTCCCCCAATTTGGACCTTTTCCCAGAAAAAAAAAAAAAAAAAAAAAAAGGGGGGGGGGGTCGGTTCTTCGGACCCCCCCCCCCCCCCCAAACCCCCTTTGACTACAGGGCTGCCGTTTTTTCTACTGCTAAGTCCGGAAGTTTGAAGTCTGGGAGAATGTTGGTGGGTAGGTGACTGAGGGTTGGCCCTACTAAAAAGGATTAGGTGCCATGCCACTTTGTAGCCACTGTTTACGTGACTGTTTCAAGACTTATCTTCTAAACAATTTTCTTAACTTGCAGAATAACTACACTTACAACCCTATCCCAGAGAGAACGTCGATATCATATATTGGAGAAATTAGAGGGAACCATACGACAACAGACGCAGCAGAAGACACATACCTCGAGCCCTCAGTACATGGAAGTCTACGCGCAGATTCATCGTTAAAATCGAACTTACAAAACAACTCTCTGTATTTAACAGAAAATGGCGATTTAGGCAGAAACATGTACGCTGAAGACGTGAACAATGGGTTGAATCAAGAAATGTACCACGAAGACGAGGATATATATTCTTATGTAAAAGAAGACAGATCTTCGAATAACGACAACAGGGAGGCAAATACAACGGAGGAATATTCACTTTGGTCAAAACACAATAATCAGGATGCGAGCGAAAAGTCAAACACAGGCGACCCTGGCTACGATGCGATAGAGGAGAATATTTACGATTGCGTCTGCGAAGTGGACAGGCGGAATGATGCCAGAGAGAACTCGTCTGTTCACGGCGCTTCATATTTACCACAACAAAACGCTGACTGCCAGACCGATGCGTCGGTGTCAGTGACAGACCTTTCAGTTTTGAGCGACTCTCAGCCGGAACTAGATGCTTCTGTCGACTCCAGTGATTTTAGTGATTTCACAGATGATGATGATGAGGGTTTTGAACCGCCATATGAAGATGGCTTCAGTGTTAAATTAGAAGAGGGCAGTAAGAGGACTACTTAACGGATCAATTTTAATGATGCAATAACAAATTATTTATTTATTCTTTTGTATTTAAGGATATTGCCTCAGAATTCAAAAGCGTCACTTTACCTTAAAGACGGCGTTTTGCAACAAACAGGTCGTATATATCTGCAAGTGTAAGCCGACCTGTTAGCAAATTCTGTTATTTAGAAATCATTTGTACACAGGAGTACCTATATGTAAGGGTATCCCTGCTCCACGCCAGACGGCGCTTTTCAAGCTTTAATTGAAAATATTGACATAATGAGTGCAAACATTACGGTTATGAGATTTGTGGTTCCATTTGTCGATCAATTTATGTCATTATGTCGTTACCAATGACATGTAACTATTTATTATTCAGATAAGCTGAAAAAAGTTGCATTTTTGACAACCTGTCAATTATTTGGAATGATCTGAGCTCCTCTAAGGTGGAATGACGATCTAAATTTAACTGAAGACTTAAGTCTGTTGATAACAGCACTTAATAAGGGACTTCTATAAATAATATTACTAATGGATAACAAGTGTCAAACTGTTAATTTTACTTTGTCTAAAAATGCAACTTGCTTCTTACTTTTACAGATAAGGCATCTCGCTTTCCGCTGGTCGGAAATATTAATAATGTTTTATTTATTACGACCTGTTTATCACAATTCTAACCGCACAAATGAGGCCCTCAACGTGATCTGCATCAAACTAAATCAATATTTAAATCACGGTAATTGTCATCATTTCATCAGTTTAAAATATTAGCAACAGTAATGACGCAATTAATAAAACCTAGCTGTCAACCGTTTATGGCGCTTAATGTGTGCTAGGTTGAGCTGATGACTCATGTTTTAAAGTTAAATTATGGACAGAAGCATATTGTATACCAAAGAAATATATCAAGTATGTAATACAATAGTGAAACTTGTTAATTTCGTCAGTTTTTTTTTATTTTGCCGTCAAAATGATAAACTGATATGTTCACAGAATGAGGAAGCGAGCCTTGTTTTTGCACCTTTCCTCTAATCTGTAATTAAAGAAATGTTCATCAATGTGTGTCTGTGTGTGTGTGTGCGTGCGTGTGTAATTCATAAATGAACCGTACGCCGTGAAATGCACGTTTTATCGTAAACGCAATAATCTTCTAATTTTATGTACAAACCAACTAATAGACCTTAAAGCTTTGTGTATATGCATTATATAAAACACGGCCGTTGGCCCATAGATTATTGAAATCACACAATACAGCTTGAAAGACGAGGGAAAAATGTCCTTTGCAATAGTCCATTTTATATATATCAACAGCAGTACACACAAAACTGAAATTCAGTTTCACATGCAGCTGTAGGTACCAGTACGTCTTGGCACGTGGTCATTTTGGAGACCTCCACAGTGAATACTATCATGGCATTTACACAAATAAAACTGTATGCAACAAAGCGAGGTTGAATGTAATGCTCTTGTATACAGTTCAATTGTATGGCAGTCGAAACACACTATATTCACATGGCTTTAGCCATTCTGCCGCACTTCTAATTCAAAGTCTTTGGTTATAGAAGTTTTGCTCAGCACATTTAAATGCAGTCTCGCGATCAATCATTTATTTATGAAATTACCCAAAACAAATGGAAAATATGAATGCAACAGCAAGTTCTGTACCATGATTACCACGTAAGAACTATAGCTAGCTTTCAAAAAATCCCTTTTAACCCCCTACTGTAGATTCGTGCATTGACATGTTGTTCCTATGCTCCAACTAAGCTGAGTATTTGTCCATCTCCTCTTTTTGCATCAGTGAGAAGAGCTGAAAAATGAAAATATAAACTGCATTATGTACAAAATAGGCCCTCAGATATCTCTCGTATCAAGTGCTTTGTTCAATCTAATGGAATATTCACGAACGCGACATCTTTTAACTGTCAAGGGACAAATCGATGCATTTTAATTAAAATTAATTTAACTTTAAATTTCAGGACACACAACCGCGCACACACACACACACACACACACACACACACACACACACACACACACACATATGCCCCATGGACAGAGCTAACCACTCTCGTTGATGGAAAAAGTGGCTGCAACTTACCACGAATTTCCTCTTCCTTGTACCATGTTTTTTCCATCAAGAGTGCGCTACAATAATACAAAGACTGTGATTACAACCCGTGTCAATATTTCTGCTAGGTGCCCAATAATCTATGTTATAAAATACATATTTTTCTACGTAGTACCCACTGTAAGGAAAACATATCAGGAACTTACAGAAAAGAAAAAAAGACAGATATTCCATTTTATAACACCGCATAGTATTTGTTTTGAAGTAGCACATTCATATTGCCTTTCTCAAAGGTTTTAAACGGTTTTTAAATGCTGACACTGAATAAACAACATGCGAACAAAATGGCGGTTCTGCTGAATGGTGTTTTATATAAGCACTATGGCTACATGCAATATCGAACATATTGATTCCTAAGCAATTTTAAAATATTTCAGCATGTTTTTCATTTAATATGCAATAAAAACGTGCAATGCATTCAATATGTGAATAACAACGGACACTGTAAGCAGTTGCAGAGGATATACGTTCGGAGTTTTGGCACCAGGAGCACAGTCCCCGTACCAATTGGTCATGGCCTGTAGAAAAAAGTCGGTACTAAAGAATATTCTAATATAGCAGTTATAATACTGATGTCTGCCTACAGATACATGTGATTGACTAAGGTATTTGCGAGATGTTTTCAGTACTACACTGAAAAAGACAACTACCGGGGTACTCTGGGTTCGAACAAAACATTGACGCACATTATGAATGTGGCATGACAAGAAAAACAGCGAGATAGCGGGGTTTTATTTGCAATAGCGACTACGGAATCTACATGCGCATGCTATTTGCAAGATGGCGTGTTTAAACAGAAACATAAAAAATATGGTCGTGCAGAGTAGTTAGATAACAGCGCATAGAAATGTTGACCAACAAAGCAGTTACCACATCAGAAGGGTCAGGGAATCATGACTGATGAAACTGCACAGAAGCAGCGGGCATGTACAGACCTTACATTAGACTCTGAAGAATTCTATCAGGGTCAGCTTTCTAGACTACAAGATTTTTGCTTCTCAGTCGTCCGTACATTAAAGATTCACACCCAAGGCGTAAAGGTTTAATGCTCTATTTTATGTAGCAAACAAATATGATATCGACATATTCACAGCATGCGGTGTTGACAGGTAGCATCCTCTGTTGGCGACCACATAGCTCTCACACCTTATATTTGGCAACAACAGGCAAAGCAGCAAAAGGGCAAAAGAGCACATCGCAGAAGCACATGTATATTTGAGAAAAGAATACGACAATAATATACACAATATCGAGTGTACCATAGTGCGTTTTGTCCGACATCGGTGAGTCTAGATCAGGAGGGTGAACTTTAGTATGGGGTATCGGAGACGACCGGGTGGAAGAGGGGGGTGGCGCCTCGAACCGCAGAAAGCGTGCCTCGCCTATAGGAACGTGTGAAAATATCAAAGGAAACGTTACTGATTGATATTCGCTTTTCGAGTTGGAAATGTTGGCTTTGTTCAGACTGTGGTGTGTAAAGTTTGGAAAGTATGCATATAGCGTGTGTATGCAAGTTTTGTCGATGAACATTACAGTGTAGCCCCGATTCTGAAAATATGAATACTTGTCAAATGTGCAACTGTCATGCTCTCTGGGAATGGCACTTCGCAATAGGTTTGTGTTTGCGCATTTCAAGATAGCGCAGCTGAATGCTTATTACTGGTAGAGTTTTGGTATCTGATATTATTAGATGTTTCCAAGTAATGCATGCACGCGACGCAGTCTAATTGATGTTTTAAAAAATTCAAGTATCAAATACTGTGCCAAATATATGGTACACGTGACGGATACAATAGAGAATGGATGCATACGAATGTATATTACCTTTTTTTACAATGTAGCGAATTTTGAGTCCTTTCGACTACAAGCGCAGCAGGAGAGAGAAAAGACGAGGCGTTTGTGACGGGCCTTCTTTGGCGCTGTACAAAAGGTAAAGTGACCTTAAACTATAAGATGGGCCACTTTATTCAGGGTGCAAAGGCAGTTTAAAAAGTGACCCAACACACATCGCAGTTACACAGAAAGAATATTTATCTACAGACAAACAATCAGACCGAGGTATTTTTATGATGTTTTTTAACAGTGACGTCAAGCAGTAATGTGTATAACTCAGTGATTTTGGTGACAATGCATACTGATTGAATTCACGTCAGAAAACCTTTTGGTCCATAAAGTCATAAGAATGGACGTATATATCGATATAAGCAGGTTCGCCACATTCTTCGCGCCATTTCTCTAACTCCGAAGTAGTGACTATATAACGCGCTGATTTGCAACGAAACAAAGCTGTAAACTGTTTCACATGTTAAGATACTAAAATGTTTTACCTTCATAGTCATCGTCATCTTCCTCTAACGAGCCGGCTCTTCTAGCCATTCTCATCCGGTCGTTCCTACGAGATGGAGGCTGGAAAACAACGTGCTTAGCTGACTAGGGTGACAACAATACTAAAACACGTGTTATTTAAAGTACCTGGTAAGCCGCCTAAAACGTTTTACAGTAACAATAAGAGGTCGCTTACAGCATTTATACGTAGAAGAACGCCGAAAAAGTATTTGCTAGATTAGCAAGAAATACGGGGCACCGTTACGGACAATACATAATCAGCATTTAACTTTTTCTCCCTACAATCACAGTTAGTGACATTTGTTATTTTTCATTTAGAGTAACCCTCAATAACTTATAGGCCTATATGTATACATTTAAAACTCCCTATGCAATAAGTCTGACGATTTTCTTATTATGATTTTCTTCAACATACGGACTATTTAACCCTTACCTGACTCGCAGATCTAGGCATTACATTGTCACCTTTAGGCTGTTCTGGTCGCGGCCGTGATCTTGACCTCACTCTCTCGTTTTGATGTTTTAAATCTCGCGAGGTTGGTAACGAGCTGTGAGATTCCATGTGAGGATGAAGAGTGTACCAGTGTGGTTTGTTGTCAAGGTAACGTTCATCTGAGGATGACACAATACAAAATAGAGTAAACTGTTTTGAATTTAAATTTGGTCCAAGCCGAAAAGTTTTTACATTGATGTTGTTACTTGGGCTAGTGTTATTAATATTATTTGCACATTATAATATTTTAAGGCAAAGGAAACTTTATCACCAAGGTATAGAGTATGTCAAACTATTTCTAAGCTTTAGTCCAGAGATAATGTCACTAAAAAAACTTGTTATACTCACTAGAAAGTCTTAAAAGCACCTCTCCCAAGAAGTCATTAGGCTTAAACCTGTCGTAGTCCCAGACGGTAATTTCCAGCGTCCTCTGCGGTAGTTCTTCCCTCGGGAGATGAAAGAAGACGAAACTCTGGTGCCATTGTGGATTCAGCGTTTTCCGGACATAATCCGTCCTCCGTTTGTTCTCTGAACTGTAAGAGAGAGAACGGATGTCTTAAAATTATCGAGTCTGTACGTCTGAGAGTGTATGCAGTTCCAGAATTTCGAGAATGTATATAAATCAAATGGCGGCATTTTCGGACTTATTCTTAACGACAAACCAGTTTCTGTCTCCACTTGAGACCTTTCAATACCTCCGTAGACGACGACCTAAATGGTTGTTTGCATGTACCTCATTGACTTTGAACATTCACTCATAGGACCTGTTCACAACCAAGTTGATCCGTAAACAAACTGAGCCGCGGGTCAAATATGGCTCTTACTTGAAAGCATGCTGCATAATCCCCTAATATATTCCCCATCCAACACCTGCCGTCCATGCAGTTGCAGGGCATTACATCTCCCTGTAGGAGATTATGAGGCATTATTTCAAATGGGTCGATCCATATTTGATCCGCTGCTCAGTTTGTTCCCGGATCAACTCGGTTGTGAAAAGAGTCATATTCAGCACCGATGTTACTCACTTTCTGTCCGGTAACAAATACACCTTGACGAAAGGATCCGAGCAGCCGGTCAGTCTGTCTTTTGGCAGAAGGTTCCTAGCCTGAATGATATGGACGTTAAGAGATTGGTCACGGTTGTCGTAACTGAGCTGCAGCTGCAGATCCCCCAAGTACCGCTTTTCTCCGCTGTTGCCGCCCCGTTGCTTCTGGAAAGGAACCGCCATTTCATTGCAAAAGACAGAATGTCGGCTTCTATTTTTTTCTTGTTTAGTTCATTTTTACTGCATTTGTCTAGGAATTTTGCCTGTTGTTGGGATGGTTAACTGCTGAATTTTTGGTGTAAACACAGATATATAAATATATTTGCGATCAAAAACTTTAAAAACGCAATGGTTTGAAATTGTTTGGGGAACAAAAAGTGATTCTTACCATCGTTACAAATGCATAAAATGCCAGGGGAGCATTAAACCCAGAAGCCGTATTTTTTGAATATATAGTAAACATACACTGAAGGTTTTGTAACGGGCACATAAATATGGTGATAGGGGTGTTGTAAATTTGGGGTTTTCGCAAAGTGTTAGGGAAAGTTGGGGGGGGGGGAGGGGGGGGACGAACTAAATGGATTGTGTATCAGCTATAAAATAAGGAAAACATATCAACTATCTGGAAATGGCAAAGTCAAGCTCCAAGCAAAAGCACAAGACCCTACATTCGTTTCAAACACAAATTTTTCATTATCAAACTGAGAGAAAATGCTTTTTCTTTTCTATTTTTTGCGCATTTCACCGCATCTTATTTCCGTACCAACAAAACAGCGTTTCTATACCCATTTAAGTTGAGAAGATCTCGTAATAAAGCCATCAATATATGAAGCAGGGGGAAGCTGCACTCAAAGCGAGGCTTTTGCGGGGAGGTTGACCAACCCTGCCACACAGAATGGAAGCAAACAGAGAAGAGGGAGGTAAAAGAGATTAGAAAACGTACCCAGAAGATGTAACGGAAGATAGGTGGCAGCAGGAGCATTGTGCACAAGGGCGTGCAGAAGTACCAACCGCCTGAAACGAAGGTGAAAGCAAACCTAATACACACGCCACACAAATAAAATACTGTTTTCACTTCCCAAACCGAAATTTTCTTTTCTTCTACGTCAACATAACATTTTCCCGCGCACATACAGTATATTAAAGTTTACACAGTGGGATCCCGTGCTATAGCCGTGGGGTTCAAAATACTTATAGCTCACTTTTCTGTCTAAAATTATATCCCTCTTCTGATATCACAAGGGCTAGATTCAGAGGAGAATTTACACTGAATCCGTTAAGATTTCACTTTTTTTACATATTTTGTATCGTAATTCAGAATTTGTAGGCTACAAGGTGCTATCTTACCACAGATGAAGGAAAAGAAAAAGTGTTGGCCTAGGAAATTAGTAACGCAGAAGCTTTAATGAAAAAAATCTCTGCTCGGAAAGTGAGAGTTAATATAAAGAAGTTAATCAAAAGTGCAAAGAAAATGTGCTACGTGACACATTTGTGTTGAAACCCCCAGCAGGCAACGCGTTACAAGTTGCATTACAAACAACCAGCCGAGGGATGGCGGTGAGTAATACTTGGTGACGCCAAGCGTACGCTAAGATAGCGAAATCGCCACCTCGTTTTTCATGAAACATTTCACTGCCTCAAGCGTGCATATGGTTACAGAGAAAAACCCGGCAAAATGACGGCCGATCAATTGGTACATGAGAAAGGACTTAGGGAAAGTGTTCACACCCTTGTACAAATGTACGGCAGACGAGAATAGCGGCCCCGGGGCTAAAATGTTTTACTGTTACATAAGCAAAGTAAGCATTATCTCTTAAAATGGCTACCGAGCACTGGAATCGCGACAGATGCTTAGACAAAAGCGCCATTTATCGCTAGCATTTAATCACCCAGTGGTAGAATGAGATGTAAATAAGCTTACTGACAACGGAAAATGACCTATATTATCCTTCGCGATTACATGAGGGATGCAACATTACAAAATGCCTAAAGTGGTTATTGATTAGATGTGTCATTGGCTCTATTCCCATAGATTTTAGATCGATCTATCCCCGCGGGGAGTCTCACTAGATTACTTTCAGATAATCCGACTTAAATGTCCGTCCCGCCTACTACAAGCTGTACGGAGGTAATTAACTTTCGTGTCCGCCCGGCTGACAGCTATTTAGCGTGAACCCCCAGGGAGTTAGGTCGATCTAAAGTAGGTCCATCTAATCTATGGAAATGGGGCCATTGTCTGCTCAACCTGTTCTTCTATTACGGCCTTCATACGGAGTGTGCAGAAGTGTGTGACAGAGGAAAAAAAGGACGATGTCCTACACCATTTTTTGTTTAAAAAATAATACCAAATGTATTTAGGGGCATGAATAATTTCCGGAATACCTACCAAGGTCAAAACCTTTTATTATAAATTAACATCACCATTTACGCCCAGTTTGGTCATTATTTATAACAAAGATAAAAAACAGCGTATTATGACGTTTGACCTCGCGATATCTATTGGTTAAAGTGGACTCTGGTTGGTTAAAGAGCCCAGAAAGTACATGTATTACCAGCGACTATGTAATGACCACTGGAGGGACCATATGTACCTTTGGTTGTTTCGAAGTCTCCGGCACGTCTGACAGCGGTGAAGGCGTGGAAGCGCTGGGGGTCAGGAAAACCTCGGGGTGGGAGGACGACGGGGAGACGGCCGGGGAGGAGGTCCTCTCTTTTGCACCCTCCAAGTGGGCCGCCAGAGTCTTTGGGTCCACGCCGCGTTTCGGTGGAGGGTCTTTGTGCATAACGACGTAGTTGTCTGGAAATAATAATGCGTGTAATTTCGAATGGAGAGAAACTGTAGGGAAATGTGTAATTGTAAGAAGCAGTTCAGTCCATTATGAAGAAAAATATATCACATTTTAAAAATTAAAATGCCTTTTATAGTATGCCAATTATGTACATAATTCTTGGTTTCACATTTTATCGCAATCGAAAGTCTAAAGTCGAAATAAAGCAAAGCATCTTGCAGCTACTATATGCATATCTCTAACAATGTAAAGAACAAACTGAGTCACTGAGGTTTTGAAAAGACCACCTGTATCATGGTGAGATGTACGTACCCAGGTTATCCAAGTCGTCCGCACTGACAAACTCGAGATTGTCGTAGGAAGACTGGCTGCTGGAGATAGTGCCTGATTTCTCCGGGCTTAGGAGATTGCTCCCACTACGCAACATATGCAAAGGATAAAAAAAAAAAGGAAAATTCAAGAACTTAAAAAATCGATAGGCTATGTTTTACACTGTGCTTGTGAAACAAATGCCACGGAGAGTTACATATATTCTGTAGTCTTTGGAGCTGTTACTTTAGAGAGTCTAAAATATGATTTTAATTTCCCACATTTTCTTATAAAAAGTAACTTAACTGCAAATTAAATTTACTTAAAATTTAGTACACAGATCCATATGTTTGAATTTGAAGACATTTCCTCAGTTATACGATTTTGATAAATTCCTACATTTTGTCCCGATGCATCTCAATACAAACTACCGGGGTATTACATGTAACGTGAAAGAATGAGAAATGTAGAAAATGTTTAGTAATGAAATGATTGATAGTATTTTAAGTCAACCAGTGTCTGCTTTTCTTCCGTTCTGTAGGTGCTAGTACATAGCAGCTAGACAGCCATAGTAAGACATACCGCAGACACTGATCGTGTTGAACGTGGTCGTTTGTCTTATGCAGCATGGATAGTGTTACGGTCACATATATGGGCTGGTGGTTTTTTCCAAGAGAAAAAGCGCGTAAAGTGCAGAAATTCTAAGTTGGCTCGTTTTTAAATAGACAAAAGAAGAATGTCTAAAATATTAAAAAGGAGATGGTTCCTTTACTGTATTTCATTAGATAAATTGGCAAAGAAAATGCGTGTCTGTTAAGAGAAAGAGAGAGATGTTTATAATGTTTATACTCACACTTTCACCACGATATCTATCTCTCCATTTGGAATTGACACTACTTTCTGGACCTCTTCGTACGTTTTACCAGTGAGAGGGATTCCGTTCCACTCCAGTATGTGATCACCTATTTAACAGGTAACGATATTAGAGTGATCAGTTTAATCACTATCAAGCAGCTTCAGTCACTAGATAATTTGATTGCTTACACTGATGACTCGCTGATAACTGCATATGAGTTTTGCATTATAATTTATTGGTAAAGAAGCATAAAAAAACGCAATACATATTGTTAAAAGATGTTTACTTTCCAGTCTTTTAAACGCTCTGAAAACCCCGTTTACTTTGTGCAATGAAGCAGCACAGTCAGGTCAATTCTGTTATTGACTTTAGGGTTTGCTTTTACTCAATATTTCATCACCACCAAAACGACACTTAAGGTTAAATCGACACATCGATTTGGCTTCGGCTTACAGCCAATGCAGAGTATTCCCTGGTTCATCCAACAATTGCAACATTGCGCAATATACAAGTCCTAGCATACATGCACATTTCACCTAATTTAAAGGTTGCCCTTACTGTTGTAACAAAACCGCATCCGATCTTGCGCACTATGCAGTTTGTTACATTCTCATTATCAGCTTGTTTTAGAGGGGCTTTGTTTGCAGCTTTGACAAACACGCGTTCCCCTTTCTGAAGATATTTCATTACCTTCTTGTAATTCTCCATGTAGCTGATGGGCGACACCGCCGGGGTAAATTTTGGCAACGTAAGCGCCAACTTCGTTAGTCCCAGGGATGAATTTACCACCAACGATCTTCAAGCCAACACTGTTACCTAAAAAATCCATGAAATCCCGTTATTAAGTTGACCAAGGCAAAGAGTTCAATAATAGGTATATTTAATAAGGGATAAAGGTCTAATTTAAAGTCAAGTAACAGAACTAACTGCAAAATATAATTAGGAAAATGTAATCTCTATGTTCTATTAAAATATCTATGCCATGATTTATTCGCTTCTCTAGCCCAGGACTCATTGAGCACCGTAACTTGTTCCCGGCAGAGCTTATTTACTGATATTTTAAAGCCTGTAAAAGACCCAAAACCTTTAAGACTGGGAAATAAAATCAAACGCTTACTTATATCATATTTAAAGCATTATTATGCAAGACATTTTTATAAGGGGATAGAAGTGTTTATGGCTGTGCAATGTGCATAATCAAAAAAACAATACCCCACATCTAATAAGCATAAATATGTTTACACGCCAAATCCTCATTATTAAGTTTCCGCCCTATACACTGTATCTATGTCTACATGGCACGCACTTTAACAAGTTCCACGCTTCGGAAACATATTCTTTCATGTCCTCAAATAACCAGGCCCGGTTCTTTATCGACCAGCTTTCAATTTGCTGCTTTCTTTTGTTATTTTATAATCAAATAGATTTCGATGTAAGAAAACTTGATAACTGATGCGAAGGAATTCCTCAAAAAAGTATACAGTACTGTCTCAACTGGTTGAAAAATTAGATCAGTAGTAAGTGCCTAACAAGTGTTTTTTTGTCATTTATCAAAATATATACATAAACTGATATTATAGTAATTGCCTGAAAATTTCCCAAACACACATTCTGATTTAAAACCAACAAATAGAGTTTAAAAAACATTCCATCACAAAAAGAGAAATGCACTGGTGTAAATCAAAATACGAAGACAGTCGGAACAAAATATCAAAATGTTAGATTTTCTTTATGAAATGACTACATTGACGTAAGTTCAGTAAGTTTTAATATAGAGTGTAATACAAATGGCACAACTTTTAAATGATATAAAGGATCAAACAGTAAGGCTAATAAAGCAAAGAAAAAATTGTACAATTATTCAAGCTCTAATAAAAAACTAATAATAACAATAATAATAAATTACTGTATAGAGACAATAATAGAGTTAAACGTAAAAAAATGTGAAACATTATCACGTGACTTGCCGGGGTTCTTCTTGTCCAAGGAAAACCAGTGCAACCCACCTCTGTAAGAACGGTCTTTGGGGTCACGGGTTAGGAGGATGCGCTTAGTAGGGAACGGGTATCTCTTCTCCTCCAGAGGAGGAGGCTGAAAAATTACAAGAAATAAACTCAGTGGCAATCGCCTTTACCATGTATGCAGACAAGAATTGTTTCATTTTATCTCAATGGCGTGCTGGAATATTTTTCTGTGATTTGTTGTTTTGCGTGATAACAAGCACGTGTGCAAGGTTAAGGTTATGAAAATCAGAACACCATTACAGATTGATTTTCTTTTTTTCTCTTTTTTTCTTTCTTTTTCTTTTTTTTTTTGAGATGTTGAGAGAACAAGTCTGAGGATATAAAATATACCGAATCACCCCTGATGACACACGACGCACGTGGATAAAAGACGGTAGAAGAACCCGTGCAAATATTCTGTAAGACAGGTCGAGTAGGGTGCCCTTGTAATATAAAATAATTAGAACCTTAACTTGGTTGTGTAACTGACCCATTTCCACTTTTCACATCGACCAAAACCGCATCGTGTTCAGAATAACAAAATCAAAAGCAATTTCATTAATGTAGCTTTTGCCAAATCTATTTCTTTCAATAAGTCAAATGCTTTTTTATTTGAATAATGACGAACCATGTTCTGTATCTACCATGAGATCGTCGAGGAAGAATAACAAGGCATATATACACATTTAGGGATACCGGTCATACAGTGCATATGCTTCTAAAGAAATTAAAGGCAACAGAGCATAATTAACATTGATGAGGCCCCAAGTCGATCTACATCTATCACATAAAATGGGTATGTTTTCCAAAAACACAGTGTACATCCAACGCATCGTTCTTATACGACTGGACGTGAAACAGCAGCCCATGGATCACCATTAGGCATGCAAACTCAATAATATTAGTTTGCTCTGCAGGCATCATTGATTGAATTAGCGGCTGGCTGATCGACCTCCATAAATGATTGTCGACAGCCAACTGGGACTTGCGGAGAAACGGCTGATACATGCACATTTTATGGAAATGTGGTGTAAGTTTACAGTGAGATGGACGGACCTAGATTGCTGAACAATAATATTTGGGAAAAAATAAAAAATGCCATAATATTAATACATGGACTGAAATATCTGTTTGGATGTGGTTTATATTATGTGTTTTGTTTAATTAACGCTTTGCGTGTACTGGACGTGTTACAAGAACAAAATGAGCCTGTAGACAGTTTGCAAGAATCCTCATATATGCCAGATCCAGCGCCTTTTAAAGGATTCATAGCCATCTTCGTCATAAAGTGCTAACACTTTGGTATTCCGGACATTCCCCAAGTCTCGAATGCCAAAGATTATCCCTAACTGAGCCCAAATTGTATTTAACATGCGTACGGCTTCTTTAGTTCAATAATTTCATGTTTTCTGGCCTTACCCGAAGCACACCAGGTGGCTTCCAATAAACCCCCACGTTAAGCAAAGCCTATTAATATTAACGACGTCCAATTATTCTCAATTATTATTCTTGAGGAGTCACGATTTCCCTGAGGTTGACTCGCGAGGTGAGTCAACGTTGTCACTCTAATTTGCATTGTCGTCTGCTGAGGCGTTCTGAAATAGGCCTGCGACTGTCGCCATCTTACTTCGGCATCACATCAAGAACCAGAATCTGAGCAGGCCATTGCATTGGCAACATAAAACTACATTTCGATAATTAATGGAACAAGATACAAACTGGGCCGTCAAAATGGTAGAGTTTTCTCAAGAAAAGCCCGTCCTAGTTCTTCTTTAATGTAAACCAGATAATGAATACTCCTCTCGCTATCATTGGATTGATCACTGTGTATTCAGTGCACGCTCTTCTCATCGCATCAAATAAATGTTATTGGAAGCATGGAATTGATAGATGAGGGCACCGGAGTTCAGGCAGACTACCCTTTTTCAATTTCCTTACTATTGTATTTCCCGGAATTGTTAACATACATTTTGTCTCACGTGTAATTCTGCCACACTATCGCGGTTATAGACACGTGTCTTCGCTGCAGAGGGATCGCTCTGTGTCTGTCCGGTGTATTTTACTGTTCTTGCACGCCAAGATCGACTTTATTCATGATCAGTGCGATATTGCTTGGCAATATTTCTCTAAGAACGAAGGAGACCTCCAGAGTATATTTTGATGTTTTTCACGGAAATATTAAATTAAAATGTACTTAAACAGCTGGTCTTAATGGAATCGTCTGGAATATGGTCAATTACTTCTGTCGTGAGATAGACAGTGATGTACAGGTTGACGGATGGGAAATAAGATCAGTTTTAAATTCTTGATTTTAAGACGTGGAATTTCTATAAAATGGTTTAAGAGGCTGACGCAAAGATTTTTCATAATTCTTTAAATAGTTAATGTTAAAAGCTGCAAATATTAAAGGTGGGTTCTGCTTCTTTACATTTGACCGAGATAAACGATAATTCTGGATACACGCAATTCCAAAACATACATATTTCAACTTCTTTATAATACCTTAATATTACTTTATTATATATTAATATTATTTCAAAGTGTTAACCTACGTGTTTTTTCCTGTCCATCTGTTTGAGTATGGTAATACCACCCTCAGTGAGGTGTTCCATCAGCCGTTCATTGGGGTCTCCCAAACTGTCCGTACTGTCGTATCTATGCATAGCTAAAACAACGAAAGTATGAATTAAACAAATGGTAATAAATGATTGATATAGGTTAATAAATGTTAATATGAATCATGTACGTTTTCTCTCTGCAATTCTTGTTTTTATAACTTGTTAAACTTGAACGGGTGTGGCATTTCAGGAACATAAATTTATCCCTTTCATTGCATTAAGTATATCAACATCTCTTAATACAAATAGCCTTCCCCGATAAAAGCAATAGATTTAAAAAATAATAATCAGAAAGAAAAAAAAAGCAAGGGAAAAGATACAGGTGTTTATTGAAAGTCAATATCTATGTCAAGGGGATTACTTACAGTATGTCATTTTTTTTTACTTTTTACACTAGTGCGACATATTTGACCGCCTGATTCACACAACGTCAGATCAATATCAGCCCAAAATAGGCATGCACGCTTTCCTCAATTTGCAGGTTAGTAATCCCAGAAGTAATTAAATCTCAATATGCTTAGATCGTTGCACGAGGTTGGGAGAGATCTTTTCAGGGCATAAATTGTACTAGTTATGTCACTCCAGCGTAAAGGATGTGTCCACTTAGGTATAGCGTCGGGGGAGGTTTGCTTGTCAAAATGAATTGATTCTTATTGCCAACTGATACATGTACCTTTTCACGCTATGGCGCTGCCTACCGCAGCCAGGTAGTTCTTGGACCAAGGTGGATAAAATGTTTTTGAATACAGATTTCTTCAAACCATATAAAGGCTATCAAACCGTACGTACTAAGTAAAATACATGTTGTTACAGGCCTGTTATTAACCGGCAGTTTCACATTTCTCCCTTATCATTGACCCAACTTAAAACTTGGCACAGAACCTAGTTCACATTTTATTTAGGCAGTCACAAAAGGAACCCTTCGAACACCACTGCCCACGGACCTGAATAAGATGTAATAAGTGTGCTGTTATACATGGAATGATACGGTACAGGCTGAAGCTACTACCCCAGGAAAAGTTTGCCAGAGATTCTTAAAACATACGACAACAAACCTATGCGTCGTCTTCTCGAGAGTTATTAACACTACAAATGGGCTTTTTGATGTCAGAATCCTTTTATGGTCTTCCCGATTTTTTAATTCAGATATTCAACATCTAAGGAACACACAGAAAGATTAATGTGCATAGCTACGAAAAAAATCGAAAAAATGATTGCCGTCAATTTCCAACTTGTCGATTTCCAAGTTTAAATTTCCTGAGAAACGCTTTGATGTTATTTTCTCAATGACAGCCATCCGTGCGCATCGCAAACAGAAAATCGAAACAAAACAGTTGCAGCATAAAATCGTTAAGCAAGACAACAAGGCTGTTTAAATAAATATCATGTTAAAATACAGTAGACTTGATGCCACACACGATTGAAAATAATGCCGTCATTAATCTTTTATAAAATAATGACAAAGGCGGTAATCAAACTGTCCAATTAACGTATCAAATTAACGAAAGCAGGCATTGGGTCCACAATCATATTAACATCATTGATTGCAAAACGCGGCAAATAAATGTATATCTTTTAAGTAATTAGTACAGACTTCAAAATATCGATCAACTGTTTATGAAAGAAGCCATCAACAGCCTAATGATCACGTGTTATTCAGGGTTCAGTAAGTAAGGTTACTCATCCGTCGTGCCGCCATGTACGATGCAGGCCTTACATTAAACTGCCGTTTGACGAACCATGATGGCAGTTAATAAAGGCAGCAAATCGCTGTACATTAACTGACCCTGCATAATACATGGGGAAGTCTTACCACCGGTGAAGACATGGGTGATTGAATACCACTGTCCCTGTGGATCGGATAGTCGATAAATTTATTCCGGTGGGATTTGCCATCATGGCTGATCGACGGGACTATAGAGCGGTTAGAAATTTAGGGAACGCATTTTATCTACATGGTAGTTGTAATTAGAATGCGCAAGTAGTGGCGTTATTCTGATCTACTCCTCAATACATGTAGCATGATGTTTTATTATTTATTTATTTACATGGATGGTGTTTTTCTATTGCTAATGGGGATTTTGATGGAATAATACTCTGACACTTGGAATAACCAAAAACAAAAGATATTAAAAGACAGTGAAAGGCTTAGAAGAGAAAAAAA